TGTTGATGTTTTTGGATATTGATAAGCCATTGTAATCGTATTAAACATTAAAATAATTTAGTTTGGTAAATTTGTAGTATGGTAAAAAAAAATTACACAAATATCATATTTTAATTAGCAAAATTGAGGACAACTCTTCTTTGAGGAAATTGCAAATTTAGTCTCTGACAGAAACTGAGGGAAAATTGGTGCGGCCCACTATCATGAAACGCACCATGGGAAAACGAAAAAAACCGATATAAGTCCAAGTGGGGTTCCATCCCAAAACTAATTGGTGAAAGGAGGAGTAACCCATTAGTCTTATAAGGTGGGTCTATTTTTCATTTATGAACGATGTGGGACAACTCACAAGTGATATTCTAACACGTCCCCTCACTTGTGAAGTCCTTCGAAAGTCCAAGCACAACTGGCTAAGTGCCCAAGCCCTACTAAAAGTAGGCTCCCATGCCCAACTGGGCTGGTGCCCAAGCCTACTAGAAGTAGGCTCCAACTGGGCTGGTGCCCAAGCCTACTAGAAGTAGGCTCCCATAAACGGGTACTTGGGGGAAAACGGGTACGTCATCGCACGGTAGAACCGGCTCTGATACCATGAAAGAAACTGGGGGAAATAGGGTGCGGGCCTACTATCATGAAGCACACCATGGAAAAACAAGAAAAACCCATATAAGCCCAAGTGGGGCTCCATCCCAAAACTAATTAGTGGAAAGAAGAGTAACCCATTAGTCTTATAAGGTGGGTCTATTTTTCATATATGAACGATGTGGGACAACTCACAAGTGATATTCTAACAGTCTCGAAGAATTGAGCTCGTTGTAAAATTAGTCCTACTTAGTAGAAATTCAGTCTTTAACTTTTTTTCGTTGCGAAAGTAGTCCCAAAGTCGTCAATAATAATAGGAGTGTCACACGCGAATCATGTGACAGTTGGTCGTTAGGTTGAAAATGAGAAAATTACAAATTCGGTCCCATAAGATTGATCGTGTTGTAAATTTGGTTCCAAATGTTGCAAAAATGGTTCTTTAGTATTTTTTGTTGCAATTTTTATGTCGTAAGTATATAACAATCTTTGATAGTAAAATTTAGTTTACACACAAAAAAAAGGCTCGTGTACGTCATTATACACGAAAATATAAAAAATAAAAAACTCGATAATGGTACAAAAAGGCCCTAATACTTTCTTTTACCATATTATACCATCATTTTATGTATAAAACACATTTTGCTATTAAAAATTTAGATTTAATATAGAAAAAAAGCGACCAAATGTTCGTGTACAACTTTACACGCGTATAATGGTAAAAAATAAAACCCCAAGTAAAATTTTGTTTTACCACAATACACCACCATTTTATGTATATAAAAAACTTAGATAGTAAAAATTTAATTTTGAGATGAAAAAATCAAAAAAAATGAATAAAAGTTCATGTACAACTTACTCGTAAAAATGCGAAGATATAAAAACTCATAAATGACGGTTAAAAAAAATGCCCCTAAAAAAATTTTCTTTCACCACGATACAACACCATTTTATGTCTATACCAAACTTTGATAGTAAATTTAATTCTGAGACGAAAAAATAAAACAACCAAAAACAGTGAATCGTCGCAACCGCAATAAATACAAAATTATTAAAAATCGTAAAAAAATGGTAAAGAAAGCCCCAAAAAACTTATTTTCAACAATGTATACTACCATTTTATTTTAAATACAATAAAAGTATAAATTTAAATATATTTGATATATATATATGTGTTAAATATATTTAAATTAATATTTTTATTATATTAAATAGTATATAAATATTTATTAATTTATTTAAAAAAATAAGAAAAAATATATAATTGACAAGTTCGATCAACCAATTCTGACCAGTTCATTGGAAACCGGTTTGTTCAAAGGAATCGAACCATTTAGTTGATCGATTCTCGATCCAACAGCAATAGTAGTCAATATTATTTTTATGTTATTTTATTTTTTAAAATTTTATTAACCTCTATAGTTATATTTTTTATTTATACTTGCCGCTATAATTATAATAAAATTAAATAATTATTTATACAAATATATTTATTATTTAATTAAAAATAATAATTTGAAATATAGAAAACATTGTATAGTAGTTAAATTTTTTTTATAAATATTTTTTTTGGTCTCAAAACTAAATATTTACTGTCAAAGATTGTTGTATACTTACAACATCAAATTGCAATAAAAAAATAGTAAATAACCATTTTTGCAACATTTGAGACCAAATTTGCAACACCTTCAATCCTATGGGACTAAATTTACAATTTCTTCTTTTCCAACCTATCGACTAACGACACATAGAATCATCCGTTAGTGTTGATGGGGTTGGGACCAAATATGCAGCAATATTTCAAAAATGATTGATTTTACAATTTATGAGACCAATTTGCAACATGCCCAATCCTATAGGACCAAAATTTCAACTCTATCTTCATTTATGAGTCTAGGAAACAATCATATCCACATCGTATGTGTTTCATAAACATAATTAACTAAGTAGTCATGTGCATATGCAAACAAAATATTATAAATTATATATACATGTAATATTTAATATATAAATTAGATAATGGATATATCATATTTTTAAAATATTGATAACTAATAAAAAAAGAACAATATAAATACAACTTATTTAAGTTACATATACAATATATTATGGTATGTGGTGGGTAGATTCTTGTCGGAGCCCATCTCCATGGTGTATATGTGGGCCCACGACGAGGAGTAGCGGCAGAGTGGCAACTCGCTGGATCTCGATGCGGTAACGCTTGCAGAGCTTCTCCATCTTGTGGCGACATTGGACGATGATCTTCTGGGGTGTTTCTAGGCATCTCGAATTGACGTCGGCGGTGACCTCCTTCCACTCGGTAAGGAGCTTGCTGCAACAGAGGGAGTACCGTTTGTCCTGTTCGTGACTTGGAGGGTTGACATCCCGTTGGATGTCCAACACGAGAGGGATCAGGCGAAAAGTAGTGGCGATGATGGTCGTGTCGGCGAAGAAGACTAGGGCGATGGGGATGTGGTCGTGAGGAGGATTGGATCTGGTGAATAACTTGGAGCAGAGATTAATTTTATTTGGGAAAGGAGGAGAGATTACTAGAAAAATTTTGGAATTTATTTTAATTAACACATAGCATGCCATGTAGGCAGTTGGCTCCGTAAAGAGCCAATTGCTGGCTTCGTAGCAAAACCGATATTAGTACCTAACAGATATTATTCAAGTGTGATAAACCTATTGCTATAATTTTTGTTCTATTTATTTGTAGGAGGATTGCACATTTAAGGAAGAGAAGGAGCTGATCGCTTGAAGAAGATCTCGGCTCCAACAGGAAAAAGATCATATCCAAGCTAAAAGGAAGCCATTTAGAAGAAAATCAACCTCACATGGGAAGAAGACTATGCATGAAAATAAGAAGGCTCATTCCCTTTGATGATTTTTTATATTTGCGTGATAAAAAACTTATTGAAAGGTTGCTGCAATTATCGATTCATAATGCCAGGCTTTCATTGAGTGTTTGCGAGCTTTTTGTGTTTATTTTGTTTTACAGTGATTCAGTGTGTTTTTACATCACTGAAGAATTGACTTTGTTCTTTATTTACAAACACATTGAGTGTTTAGGGATTAAATGCTTTTGTATTTGGGAGGGATCTTTACCTAGTTTGAAGTTCACACAACGACCAGAAAAGTAATTGATAGAGTCGAATACAATGTTGGTTAGACTAGGAGAAAGTCTTATTCTCGTAATTCCAAACCGATTAATGAAAGAGCCCTGAAGAGTAGTGAGACGTTTCCTGAAAATATTTTTATGTATTTAATTTATGTGTTTAAACACACGTTCGTACTCTATTTATCCCCGCTACGTTTCAAAAAGTTTAGTCAGATCCCCATTCCTTGTCAAGAAAGACTTATTTTACTTAAGGCTTCTTTATCCTTATACCCTTTTATCACACTCGTCTCTATTGTTACCGTGCTCGTGTACTCACCAAGTTGATTAGAAGACCTCCAATTCTAAGCTCGTATTTAATTGTCGAGAATGTATTTGATCTACTTTAGTTACTTGACCGCTCATCCCCAGCTACACAATTTAGACCGAGTTGGTTATAAAATTAGGAAAAATGCTATAGGTACATAATCTGTACATAGATGTGTACATAACACTCACATAGAGTGAGTCCTGTCAAAAATAAAAAATCAAGTAGACCCTACTCCATGTGAGTATTATGTACACCTCTATGTGCATTTATTATTTACTTATAACATTGTCCATAAAATTAGACAGGTGAATTGTCAATCAGCTCGAACTTGACTCATTTGTTTAACCCACCTTTATTGTTGCACAAGGGAGAGATGGAGGAAGAGGGGGAGTGGGCATCACAATTTGGCCCGAACAACTATATTGTTTCGATGGCTGATAGTGTTAAACAGCGGGACAGCGTGACAGGTGGACCCTATATTTCTCAATGGGATTACCCCACTTTGTACTGTACTCGATAACTAAATATGGTTTTATTGCGCCAGCTGAACCTGCAAAAAGTACCCAAGAGTGGGTGGGTCCCTCATCTATGATACTGAACGTTGAGAAAATAATAATAAATTTCGCATTTACTATTTTCACAAACCGTCATTCAAATCAAATCTCCCGTAAATACCACAGCGAAGCCAACAAGCAAAACCACTTTAGAATTTAGAATCCCCACTGAGCACCCACCCACTGTGCAGTCTGTGCGTGCGTACAGCTCAATCAGACTCCTCATTTCTCAGTTGTATCTCAACTCCATAACACAAGTAGTTTGCTGCTTATATGCTGCTCACTTCACTTTTTTTCCAACTGCATTCTTTCGAAATGTGGAAGCTTTGGTTTATCTGCACCTTAATTTCGCTTCTCTGCCTAAGCTCTTCCGTGGCTAAAGTTGCCGCTCAAGGATTAAAGACCCGACATAGTAAATGGCTAACACTTAGCGGTAAGCAACACTTGTTGAAACGCTCTGTTTTTGTGTAAGCGCTCTAAATTATTGTGGCGAGCTTTCTAAGTTTCCATTTTTGTCAGGTAAGCCACCTTTGGTCATAGCAAGAGGTGGGTTTTCAGGGGTTTTTCCGGATTCCAGTTCTTATGCATATCAGCTGGCGGTGGAGACTGGCTTGCCCAATTTACACGTATGGTGCGACTTGCAGCTTACCAAAGACGGACGTGGAATCTGCCTTCCAGATGTCAGGCTCGAAAATGCTTCCGACATTGACAGTGTTTACAGTGATAGGCGCAACACGTATTCTGTGGATGGAGTCCCGCTTGAAGGATGGTTTTCCATGGATTTCACCTTAAACGACCTGCAACCTGTCAATCGTGAGTTAAATTCCTGTTCGACAAGTCCATGTATTTCTTTCTGTTGCACAGCTTCGTGTTTGTATTGTGTTTCCAAAGCAAGTGGTTGTTTTATCACATCAAATGGCTCAGTCCAGTAAATCGATTGATGCTACTACTCCATTCCTTAAACTTCTTTGTTAATGCTACTGAAGTTTTTTCACATGCTGGGTTATTTGTTCATATTTTGCTTTACTGATGTAAATAAATCTAAATAATGTAAAACTACTACATTTCATTCATTCTGATGGTAATTCATATTGGACAGTGAAGCAGAGGATATATTCCCGAGCCCCGAATTTCGATGGTACTCCAATGCAAATTCTTACGCCCAATGATGTTATCAGTCTGGCAAAACCGCAAGGATTATGGTTAAGTGTTCCGGTAATATAAGTGAATTCCTTACTGATCTGTACCTCAGAAGTTCATCAGATAATCTTAGACGACTCCTAATCAGCGTTATTTCCATTGAAATACTCATGCAGCATGATGCATTTTTTAGCCAACATAATCTGAGCATGAGGAGCTACATTGTTTCGGTATCTAAACGCATGGTAGTCAATTATATTTCATCACCTGAGGTGGGTTTCCTGAGAAGCATCACGTCACGCTTCAGAACAAGCCCAACAAAGCTTATATTTCAATTTTTGGGGCCTGATGATATAGAGCCTACGACCAACCAAACATATAGCTTACTTATAATGAATCTCAAACTTATCAAAGAATTTGCCACAGGAATTCTTGTTCCAAAGAATTACATATATCCTGTAGACAACAGCCTCTATTTACAGAATTACTCGTCTCTTGTACTGGATGCTCATAAAGCTGGCTTGGAAGTTTTTGCATCCAATTTCATGAATGATGCACCTTTACCGTATGATTACAGCTATGATCCCGTGTCCGAGTATCTATCCTTTGTTGACAACGGCCAATTTTCTGTTGATGGTGTGCTGTCCGACTTTCCAATAACTCCATCTGCAGCCATAGGTAAATATTGGTCTTTTATGAATTTTTTCTTCTATGTTGTGAAAATGAATTTGCACTAAGAGGCTCTTGAAATTCTCAGACTGTGCGGGTTTATATTCTTTTCCCTCTTAGAGTTGAGAAATAGACTCATTGCAGTTCGTTTGGACTTGAATTTGATTTAGATTTCTATTTTAACACTTATTGAACTGCCTTTTGAAGCTCTACCTGCCAGGATAAAATGTTATTGATGCTTTTGGACACTAGTAGGATCAAGATAAAGACTATACTTTAATGCCCATGTAGTTAGCATACTTTACTTCTGTCTTTACATTTAATATCTACTTATGGTGGTTTCATCTAGTAGTACTACTTTCTCTGTTTTCTGAGGGGTTAGGTTCATATTAGCATTGATTCCATGTTTCTTTGATGATTATAATTGGAAAATTACCTTGTGAGATGCCAAGTTGGTTACTCAAATTACATGCGGGGGCCTTCTTAACTCAGCTAGAGCTTACATGTTTACATCAGCCTAGCTCTTTAGTGCAACTTGCAAGCCAACTCCTCTTTTTGTTTCTTATCTCATTTCATTGTTTCATATGTTAGAGCTTTTATCCTTAGTTTCTATCTCTTGTAATTGAGTTTTTTCATATGGGTAGGAGAGTAAAGATGTGAAAAAATCTGTATGTCTTGGTATTATCTTGTACACTTGCAGTAAGAATTTGGTCTTCATCTTATTGTGTTATTTTCTTAATACTGAAAGTTCTTCACAATAATCGTGTCAGTTCTCTGACGGCTGATATTTTCTGGCTGAACTGAACTGCGCTATCTTAACTGGAATATTTATACTATTCAGCAGAGTATCATGTAATTTGCATTCAGTGTCATGTTGCATTTTGAAAAGATATTTCAGTTCTGTATTGCTAGTAAAAGAAGACTTGTTTCCCTTACTAAAGTTTTTATAACATACTGCAGATTGCTTCTCACACATGGGCAAAAATAAGACAGTGCAAGGTACATACTAATATTAACACACCTTGCATATATTGTTTACTATCTTTTCCGTAGTAATGGTGTTAATAAATCATTGGTGACAATTTATGTCCATCAGCGGAACTTTTGATTATATCTTCTGAGGGAGCTAGTGGAGATTATCCTGGTTGCACTGACAAGGCATACGCTAAAGCTGTATCTGATGGTGTTGATATACTTGACTGTCCTGTTCAAATGACAAATGACGGGGTACCATTTTGCTTGGGGTCAATTAACCTCAGGGATAAAACAAATGCTGCTGAATCAAATTTCAGTAACATGGCAACAACCAATTCTGACCTAAACATAAGGGACGGAATTTTCGCATACAATCTCTCTTGGAGCCAAATTCAGATGCTAAAGCGTAAGTGGGGCTTGGAATCTTAGCCGTTAATTATGACTCTTTTTATTTATTTTTTTCCACATGCTTATATAATAACAATAAGGAAATGTGGGGGGTCACATACATAGAAGTTGGCTGTAAGTGGTAAACATGTCATTTAGCTTGGGGGCACATATCTCATTTTGAGCTTAGACATGTTAATTTACTTTCGGCCGAAATTTCCGTGCATCCTGTTATCACAAGATCTTCAGCAGGCATTGACTGCATAGAGGTGGACAACGGTCTGCTATTTAGGCTGTAGATGTTCTGACAGTAATTGGACAAAACCTCCTTCATTTTGATTTTCTTTTCTTGCATCAACATAGTCTACATTTCTTTCATAAACTGTTTGTGTTTCATTTGGTAGCAAGAATTTCAATTTCAGTGTGGTCTTGAAGTAATAGTTAAAATCTGCACTGATGCGTTATTCTCTTTAACTGCAGCTGCTATTTCTAATCCATTTTCGAAGTTTACACTCTTTCGAAATCCAAGAGCCAGAAATGACGGAAACCTAATGCACCTATCTGATTTTTTGGAATTCTCAAAAAACACATCTTCTGTCTCTGGAGTGTTGATAAGTATAGAGGTGAGTCTACTTGACGTTGCATTTGATCCTTAGTCTTACCACTGTTTCAGATGCCTTTTGCAGGTCTCACACATCTTAGCTGTGCAATAAGCTCCCGCTATGCTAATCTTGCTTACCAACTTGCAAGAGCTGATTAACTTATGCCATCATTCGTATTGAAAAGTAAAATTTTCAGTGACTTTAGGTGCCTGATCTAGTAATTTATTTACTTCAGGAATTTTAACTCATGAATTCTAATGCATCACAACTTGTAAACATATGAAACATATGAATGGATGCACTGACAGTAGGCTGAATTTGTTAATTTCCAGATTAAGCATTTCTAGCCTGAAGACAATAAAGTAATGCCTCGGTATTATCATTCCTGGCCAATACTTAGTAGATGGGTATTGGGCAATCATAACAGAAGTGCTGAGATTTTGTTGGAAAAGTGGAATCTTTCCTAATATCCCCAGATTATATAAATAGAGTCCTTTATGGACAGGAAGCCAAACTGTAGTACCCACATAGCATTTCCTGCATTAAAATTTTGTCCTTTTTCTGTGCCTGGTCTGTGTATTAATGGTACTCTTAGGAAGTTTAATCAATAAATGTGACGTGTTTGTAGTTCTTTGGTAGGAGGAATTCCATTTGATAGTCCTCTTTCTTGCCCCACTATTATGAAATGAACTTGTTGAATGATAGTTTTCTATCTTGCAGAATGCTGCCTACCTAGCTGAAAAACAGGGATTAGATGTAACGAGAGCGGTTTTGGATGCATTAGCGAAGGCTGGTTATAATAATCAGACAGCCAAGAAGGTCATGATTAAATCAAGTGATAGTGCGGTGCTCTCGAAGTTTAAGTATAGCGGCAAATATGAACTCGTTTACCTAGTTGATGAGGATGTCCGTGACATCTTGAACTCAACTATCTTGGAGATAAAAAGAATCGCAAACTCTGTGGTCATCTCTAAAAAATCTGTCTTTCCTTCTGATCACCTCTTTCTCACTGGTGAAACAACAATTGTTCCTAAGCTGCAGGCCTTCAAGCTCCCAGTCTACGTACAATACTTTCGGAATGAGTTTGTATCTCAACCTTGGGACTTCTTCTCAGACCCATATGTGGAGATTAACACCCATGTCTTTTATATGGGAATTAATGGTGTCATTACAGACTACCCTGGTACAGCTTCTAAGTTCAGAAGTAAGTTCACGATGAATAATGCTTATATATATTTTATCTCTTCTTTTTCAGCTCCACATCATGCAGTCTGTTGTTCTGTGAACAGAATCATTGCAATCACACTTCATATTCTGAACAAAGTTCTTATATTTTAATGGCATTGTTACTCAGTGTTCTTTTTCACCAAAGTTAGAATGTCCGCAGACCTTAGCATTTGTGCTGACTACATTGACATAACAAGATGGAAGTGTTTTTTGCTTCTGTGGCTAGAGCCAGATAACTATTTGCATAGAGTCTAGAGTTCAAACCATCCGTTTCAGCTATTTGGCTTCTGTGCTGCTATTGATACTGGGCATAAGCGGTATAAGAATAGACATGATGCAAATTTGGTCTTAACGGGAAATTTATTATACACTTCTGAGTTAGCTAATCACATCTATTTCCTTTTTCGAATCAGCAATTCACGTATGCAATTGGAAGCTAGGTTAAAGACTGCACATTTTGATTCTGATTAGGCTATGGGTTCTAATAATAGCATAAAAGAACAGCCAAGTTTTATGTCAATGCAAAACCTAATTTTAGATAATTTTAATATTACTTAGAAAATTTTGACAGGCTATTGGATCCTAACCCTATATCGGTATCAATGGAGCATTCAGTGCCATGGATTTTTGACTGGGTTATACGTTTGCCTGATAGCAAAACTGGCTTCCCGCATAGTTGGTCTAGCCATATGCGCAAGTCTCACAATGTTTTTACACTCTTTACTTTCTACTTAATAGTATGTTATGAACCTTGTGTTTTTTTTATTAAATGAGTCTGACTCAAACTTGTACCACCGGCTGATTACAAAAAACCCAAGTTGTGCATAAGTGAATCTTATTCTAAATTTGAACTAACTGGTAAAGATCAATAACTATAAAACTTAAGAGTTAATATCATATCATCAATATTGTTAAAAACATGTGAAGATGTTTGTTATCATACATTTTACAACATAGATTTGATACTCTTTGCTTTTATTTTAGGCAAAAGAGGCCTAGAGATATTATCAATGGTAATGTATATTAATATTATTCTCCACATTTATTTTACGTTACGTGCATTTGGTTTGTAAACATTTAACATGTTTTATTCACAGTCATCACGCACCCAAGAAAAAAAAAAGGACAACAAACCTCGTTAGCATGCAGATGTATACATGTACTGATGTACCAAGATGAGATGGCTACTTTTAACTTATAGATCTTAAGTTGACTTGACTGCTTTTATATAGTAAATTTTGAAACAGATGCTTTGCAAAATATTCAGTGTCTTTGAACCCTCATATAACTGGAGAGGGTAGTGTCATTCGCATAACGTCCAGATGTGCATGATGAAGTATGTTTACCTACTTCAAATGATTTAAAGATGACTTGAAAAACTAACTAATGTTTTTATATTCTATATCTTTTTTTTTTTTTCTTTTAGATTCTATTATTATTTATACCTACCAATCATTGATGTACATTATTGTTTTAATTCATTTACAGGGAACCGTTGTCTAGGATATGAAAGTCCACCACCATACATGTCTCCTGTTCAGCCAGGGGGTCTTATTCCCCTTATGGCAACCACATTCTTGCCTCCAGCTCAGCCTCCGAACCCTATTCTGACAGAAAACGATGTGGTCGAGCCTCCTCTGCCACCTGTCGTGCAGAGGCCTCCCACTGGTGGAAATCTCAGTGGCTCGGTTGCGCCTGGTCCAGTTCGCCCAGCCAACGGGCAGCCTGCAATCATTAGAAGCTCGAAGCTTGGTGTTTTTCTTGCTGTCCTTGTTTCTATTCTCTGCCTATCAGGTTAAAAGCCTAATTTTTTTATCATGATATGACCGGTTCGGCCGTATTTTGGCCCGGGCTCAGTTGGATCAATTAATTAAATTAGCTTGAGAATTTGGTTATGATTTCTATAGAATATTTCGGTATATATGGATGATATCTAATTTTATTTGAATATTCTTAGATTCTAAAGAAGTATATGGAAACCTTGCCTTGTTTTGGTGGCAAGTTATTAATATCTTATAAATAAGGGTTTAAGGTTCACTTTCAAACACAACTTGCAATTTCTACAAATTACATGATATATTCGGTGATTTTATGACTGACTTGAGCGTACCATACCAGTGGCGGCTATGTCAGGGGCCTCTCCCGGCGCTTGTAGGTCTTTTTGGTTCGTGGTTTTCTAGGCATTCGAAGCGCAACAGTTAGTTTGAAAACTCGATGGGCCGGTATTCTAGGCACATCAATATTGGTGTTGTCTGTAGGAAAATTGAGTTGACAAAGCGATGATCGAAGATCAATTGAGGATGAATTAAAATGTGGTTAAGAATAACCAGGGAATTGATTGGTGTTAATGGTTGAATTAATGTTGGATGCTTAGGGCATGAATGACTCCAATATTTTATTGTGATGACACTTGATGCAGTTGCAAATGTGAAAAGAATCACAAGTTCATAAGGCAAGTAAGCGCATAGTGCAAGTACGACCCATTGCAAATAATCGCAAAAGTTACCAGATTTGCCATGAACTCCGCTCAGGGTGCAGGGTTTGAGTCTGTGGAAGGGCAAAAACCACATAATGTCCAAAGATGGGTTTTCACCCTAGGGCAAGATCACTGTGGAAGGCCATGAGTCCCCGGTGCATGGTCAATGGCTCACTGCGGGTCCGAACTCCCCAAAGTGGGGAAGGATGGCGGTTATAACCGTCAACAAAAAAGGGATTTGGTGGATTGGTACCAGACTTGCCACGAACTCCACCTTATGCTCAGGGTGCAGTGTTCAAGTCTGAAAAGAGTAAAAAACCAAAAAATGCCCCAAGATAGGTTTTCACCCTATGGCAGGAGCACACCGTGAGTCCCCGACAAGGCAAGAACCTACCGGGGACAAGACTGACGAAAAATATCGTCAACAAAGTATAAGTGATAGATTGTTGGACTATATTGTAGAAGTTGGGTTTGTGATTACTCCCAATTCCATTTTGGATGAGATGTGTGTTTTGAGTCAAATTTGTGTTCGTAGTTTATTTATTTATGCAAAAATAGTTCTTTTATTTTATATTGTAGATAATGAGGTTCAATGTGTCGAACAGAAAGATCACATAATCCGTGTCTTGTAAAATATAAATACTTGTTCACGGCCCAAACAGAATTGAACTAACTGTCGTGAGAGGTTGTTTTCAAGTTAGTTGATCTTTGACTAATGAATTACATTGGTACATCTCGAATGTATTGAACGGACCTACAGAAAAATAATATTATTTTATACTGACCAAGTAAATAATCTAGACCTCAGTAATTGTTGCGTTTTCTTAACCTACAAGACAATAAACAAGCATATGTATTCACCACTTATTTGATTTACCAACAGTGATACATATTCTGTTAGGTTAACATACTTGGTATTTTAGTAAGTTTGTTTACATGATGTGTCGTTAAGATTGTTTACAGTCACTGTGTTCCGGTACGCCAGGTTGATGACGTCCCCGATATGTGTTCAAGAAGAATTAATAATAAAGAATTGAGTGGTACTATTTTTCGTTCAAGAAGATTAATTATATTGTCAGTAATTAAGTTAATCAACAAACGTTATATCTTAAACACGGGGAGGTAAATCGAGCAATTAGTCGGGAGATGAATTGGTTATAACTCGGAGCTAAATGAAGAGTGAACTAATATTACTCTAGTGGAACGTTGTATTATTTATTCACATAAGGAGTAGGTGTAGACATAAGATCTTCTAGATGTTAACAAGTTGAAAGATATAAGGTTTTTCAGATGTTAACAAGTTGGAAGACATAAGGTCTTCTATTCCTATTTGAAAAACTCTAATTTAGCACTTGCTTAGGATCTCTGTGGTAGTCTATAAATACATTAACTCCCCTAGCCTCCATGATAATTATTCACACGTCCAAAATCAGATTTCCACACATCCAAACATAGTTCTACACGCCTATTATATGTGAAGAACAAGAGTTTTTCTCTTAGAAAATTCATATAAAATCGAGAGGTCTTAGGAGAAGAAATTCGAGAGGCTTTGGGAGTTCTGTTTAGTCGCTCCACCAAGACGATTCGAAAAAGGTGTAAAGGTTGTACATCAGAAGATCCCGAGGTTTTGTTTTCGCATTCCGGTGAATATATATATATATATATATATATATATGCACCCCGTTGAATATATACAAACCTGCAGCACCTCGAATGGCCATGAAAATTGGATAGCACGACCACCGGAGGAAGACGCATCCACTGGTGTGCCCACGACCACCAGCCACAGCCATACGTGCCGGTGTCGGTGCCGGAACCCCACGCGCCACCATGCCCCCAGAGCACCGTTCGCGTAGGACCCGTCGGCAGGCTGCGCACATCCCGCGCAGGCCCGTGCAGACAACTTGCGACCCGTGCGAGAAGTGTCCTAGCAACCCGCGACGTCCCAACGCGACCCGGAGCAAGATCTGCATATTCCTCGCGACCTCCAGCGCCCCTGCGTGAGTTATTCGCGCAACCAGAGTCCGTCGCGCATGAAGTCTCGACGCCCCAATAACAAACTCGTTCAGCCTCAGCAACCCAGCAGCAAGCCCGTGCAGCCTCGGCTGCAGTGCTGTAGACCTGGGTCTGCCCGACCAGCACCGGCTCAGTCCACAAGAAGCGCACCAGAACCGGTCTAGTGCGGTCCAGCTTGGTCCATCCCTGACCAGTAGTGGTCCAAACCAGTTCAGCTCGGTCGAGAAGCCCCGGCGAGCCCACGGTGACTCCAGAGCAGTTCGACCAAGCCACCAGATGTCCGAGACGGTCTGACAGGCCCGACAAGCATCCGAAGATGTGGGACTCGAGAGACGATCAAGGTTCGATGATGGTGAGGCCTAGTCCGACAGCCCAATAGACTATGAGTTTCAGAAGATCTCATACATGACATTCATCATATTTTCATGCATTATGAGTGATATATTGTGATATTAGGCCTTGGTTATCGTGTGATTGTGCACCATTTTGTTTGATTTATTAATTTATGATAGATGTGTTTTTGTCGTTGGTTTTGCAGGAAATATGCTCGGAAAAGCGTTGAAAATGGAATCGGGACGAAAAAGGGCGAAAACGGGTGCAGAAGAGGTCACACGACTCGTGTGGGTAGTGACACGGGTCGTGTGGGTTGAGAAAATAAGAAACGCAGCTACGGCTTTTTCACACGGGTCGTGTGGGTTGAGACACGGGTGTGTGGCCTCACACGACTCGTGTGACCCGGTCGTGTGAGTGTGGAAGTTTGCCGAAACGTTGAGAAAAGTCACATGACCGCGCGTCGCGACGCGGTAAATTTAAATTTATAAAGATTCCTTGACTAACCTCTACTAACTAGTAGTAGTGGCGAGTAAGGGTCGATCCCACGAGGAGCAGAAATTAATTGTGACTATTCTCGTATTAATTGAATTAAACTAGGAAAGCAATAAAAGATGGGGGGATTGGTTTTATAAAAATAAAAATAAAAATAAGAAAATAAAATAAAAATCTAATAAAATAAGAGAAGTCCAGTTTTCGGTTCAGTTATCACCCAATCTAAATCTACCGTTAATTAATTTCGACGCTTTCTTTAAATCGCTAATGAATTACCGACCCTAGCTAACAACAAGCTCTGTTAACCGAATTTTCCCTTACCGAATATTTAATCGAAATAAGCTCTTCGACTAAACCTAACTAGCGGACAACCTAGAATAAGCTCTCTAGATTTAATACACTAGCAGCATTAATTCCTAGGAAAATAGATCAGTCTAAGCAATGGACGCAAAAGCTCGGACCATTTAACTTATGCTCATGCTACCCTAGAGATGCACGACCCCTAGTTTACTACTAACGAAACAAGACAATAACAATTACGGATTAAAGCCTCGAATCTAGCAATTAAATCATGGAAATTCAACCTAGCTGGCCAAACCAAATCAAACACCATAATTCATAAACACAATACACAGATAACATGAATCAACTCATCGACAAAAATAAATACGGCGTCTAGATTAATCAACGATAAATTCAAATCCTTAAATCCATAGACAAATTCAAGTTAGGGTTCAAACATCCCCTAAAACTGGATAAAAATTCTAGCGTAACATATTAATAAAAATAAATAATAAAAGATAAAAGAGAGAATAGAATTATCCTCTCGTGTGCGGGTGCGGCTTCCCTCCGCGTGTGTGGCCTCCTTCACAGTATTCTTGCTTTCTCCTATGCGGCTGCTACTCTCTCTGCTCCGTTTTTTCTTTTCTGTCTGCGGCTCTTTTTCTTCTCTTGCGTAAAATAAATCCACGTGACTTTTTTGCAATATAAATCCTCTCCAATTGAGTCCTACTGCCAAGTGTCCCAAAAGCCGTGCGAGTCCAATTGAGTCCTACTACCAAGCAATTACATCTCTCCAGCTCTCTTTCGCGTGAGTGTCCCAAGAGAACATTCTCTTCCAAATCAATTAATTGTCCCAATTTTTTCTTTGACAAAACCGTGGCAGCTCCCATTTGCTCCCTTAACCAACAAACCAATTATATTTGGGCTTTGATTATAGTGATTGGTCTAGTATTAGGGCCCAATAATGACTCGCGCGAACTCTCGTCCGATGCTCTGGATCCATAAAATGCTCTAAAGTCCTAAAAAAACACAAAAAACACCAAAAAAATAAATCCATTCAAATAATAAATAGGTCGAAAAATACAAATGTGCGATTAAATTATGTATATAAAAATACACTATTAAACATATAAAACGTGCACATTTTACGACCTATCATCACACGACTCGTGTGGCATGTGACACGACTCGTGTGACGCGCAGACTAGTTCAGCGGGGAATAGGATTCTTGTGCGATTTCTTCCCTTTTTCGACCCAGAATAGCCCTACATTATAAAACAGACCTTAGGAACTCGTTTTTGGGACTTTTTGACACCATTGGAGGCCTAGAGAAAGCACGAAATACATGAGGGATTCGAGAAAGTCAAGATTGAAAATTCGGGAACTAACGGCGACAATAGTTCTTCTTTCTTTTCTCTTTTTCTTCTTCATTGAACTCATGGATTTATTTGAGTTTTGAGAATATGTTTAGTAGCTAAACCTTTTAGATTCTAGGATTTGTTAGTACTCGGATTAATTTATGATTTAGTTTTTATTTCTTTCATTCCGGTTTATCTTTCGTTTATGAATTTCTTTTGCTTATTATTATTGTGTGAGTAGATGGCCACTATGAATGCATATTTGTGATCGATTTGAGACCGAGAGGAGATAATTGATTGCTAGAATTGGGAGATTTATAACGTAAGAGAATAAACAGACCGAGAGGTTGATAGGACCTTGTGAGAGAACGAAAATCCTAGGAACTTATGGGAGTTAGTTGTTCATCTTGAGACCGAGAGGAGATAGATAACAATTAATATCTACGATTTGACTTGTTCGAGAGAAAGGTTTGAAATCAATTTAGCGATTATCTCTACGATTGGTAAAATTAAATAAGGTTTGTTTGAATATAAACGTTTCATGAATTAATTCCGAGGAACGCTTAGCCTAGAATCTACCTTTTGTTTCTTTATTTATTTTTATTTGTTTAGATAAATTAGTTTTTAATTTAATTCTTAGTTTATAATCATCATTCAATTCACTAGTCTAGATAATATTTAATCGTCGTTATTTTAGTACTTAATTAATTTAACTACAATCTCTGTGGAATACGACCTTGCTCGCCACTACCTATAGTTACACCGTACACTTGCGGTTAGCAAAAAATAATTAGCGAACAATACAGCAGAAATAATAAGCGTCTCATGGTGGGCAAAAATTTTAAACCAAGTCCTAATCCTAACTATAGATTCCGCTGCGTTAGGATTTAATTTTAATAGATTCGAACGTTCACATTGACGACGTTCCTCATAGAACCCAATACCTAGCTATGAAGAAGAGGGTACAAAGTGTTAAATTTCCATCGAACACTTAAGGACAAGATATATTTTAGCAGACCCCCTAACTAAGGGCGTAACATCAATGGTATTTCACGAGCATATTGCTCATATGGGTGTGTTACATATTGAGGAAGCATCACTCTAGTGGAAGTATGTGATACATTTTTGTAATTTTTAATCGATGATATATAAAACACTTATTCTTATTAGAAATAAAGTTTTGTTCACGACACTTTGTGCATTATGTTTTAGTACTTTACGATCTCATTAAGTTTTGGCTAATTGAGAATTGACATGTGAAGATCAAATTCATGTAATTCTCATGCCACATGTTCCACAGTTTGATCTATGGCATTTAATTATGATGATATATGTGATTATTGCTAATTTAGTTGCTTTTATATAGCGAAAATTGCTTTAGTCATATATTGTTGTGATTAATATACCGATTGTTTGAGTTCTGTAATAATGACTATATTTTGAACTCATAAGGTATAATGTATTACCAGGAAACACGTTTAATCCAGCGGGGTTTGTTAGAATTTTTTGGGATTAAATATGTGCAATTGATACATTGGGTCATTATGTTGTTTAGCCAAATTAAGTGATCAAATTACGTATATAGATATACTAGCTAAGCAACTTAATTTAAACTGTGGAATAATCAAATGTGGATAATCGGTAATGTTATTATCTGATGACGTAATAAATAACAATATTAAATTGAAGTGATTAAATTAACAAAATAATTTGGGTCAAAATTAATGATGGGTGGAGTCACCAAAGACCGTGATAAATAAGAAGGCACATTCGGAATTATTCAAAAGAAATATGAGGTGAAACCATCCCCTCTTCCACTTTATAAGTTTTTCTTCATTACATCAGAAGAGAAGAGTTTCCAGATCACGATCTTTTGGAAAACTTCAATCTCATATCAAAATTTGAGTTCCAACGCAATCAATCACTATGAATCTATTAGGTTCGCTTCAACTATTTGGTTATGACTATCAATTATTCGATATCGATGTTGTCGGGATAAAACGATATTTTTCGCATAAGGTTAATCCAATCATACTAGCATTCTCTTAACTTGATGACACTTGAAAATCACCAGCAATGATAGTTTGAACTAATAAGCTGATATCGTCTTGATAGAGGGTCTGACAGGCAAGGATTATGTCTCAACCAACCATAAGAGGGATTTTCTTCAAAAAATGTTCTATCATCCAAGTATAAATATAATAAAAATCAATAAAAAAATCTTTATACATAAACAACAAAAAAGTATCCCATAAAATACACACACACACACACAAAAAGATAAAGATAAAAGAAAATAGAACAAGAAGAAATATTCTTAAAATTAATTACTTCAAATAAAAAAAAATTGAGAACTGTTGTATCGCGCATTATGATGAATTTGGCAGTCTATGAGTGTCAACTGAGAACAAGTATTGATTTCTTTAATCTCAAGCTTTTCAAAGTGGGGAAGAAAAGGGCTTTCTTTGTTTTTTATTTATTTTTCAATTATTAAGCGAATTATAAAATATCCCTCGATATTTTTAAAAATTTCCAGAGGGCCACCCCACTGTAGCACAGTTCTTGGTTGTGGTGCGTGCGTCGAATCACGGACTGCAACTAAATCAGGATATTCTAATGATTCTTCCATTAATTAATGAAATCCATATCTTTCACTTGGTTCGGACACTACAAAAGATTAGTCATTGTTACAAAGCTTTTGTGATCATGCTTTGGAAGCAACATTTTNAACGGGTAATTTATTTATTACAAAACAAAAAAAAATATGTGGACAAAAACAAAAAAAAAAAAAAAGAAAAAACAAAAAAAATAAATAAATGAGCAAATAAATCAATAATCAAAAACAGCCGCGGACTCGGATTTCCAGTATCTTGCTTTCTCAAATCCATTAGTGAAATTTTCGTAATCCTCAATAGTTTGATCAATTTGTTGTTGTGTATTCATGACAAAAGGACCATACTGCACAACTGGCTCCTCCAATGGCTCTCCTCCAATCAGAACAAACCTTAGAGATTTGGAGGACTTATTCCAAGCCTCAAGCCCATCACCGGGCCCAAGAAGAAGAATGTGATGGGCCGACACAGGCGAAGAACGTGAATTACCGAATTTGCCCTCTCCCTCTAACACGTATACAAATGCATTCCATGATGATAGTATGGGCTGTTGGATCATGGCTCCGGGCTTTAGAGTAAAATCAAGAAACATTGTGGGCGTTCGAGTAAATATAGGAGATTGTACTCCGAGGGCCTCCCCTGCAATAACTTTCACTTTCACACCATCCCTTTTGGCCTTACAAATATCCTTACTGCACATTTCTTGATATCTTGGCTCAATCCTGCACATAAGCCAACACTCAATTTCAATGACGCATGCTAAATAAAAGGCGAAATTGCATTTTTAATCTTGCTGGTTTAACGCATAACATTTTTAGCCCTAAGATTCAAACATTATGTCTTTTGATCCTGTGATTTAATTTTGCTGAAACAAATTTTCAAATTTTTTAGATTTTTCATTAGCAATTTAAGTCCTATAATTGAGAATTTTGTTGCAATTTTTGTCTAAAATTTTGTTGCAGTTTCAATTTTTTGAGGACTGAAATTGCAGCAGAATATTAAATCATAGGACCAAAAAGCAAAAGGTTAGAATTTTGGGATTAAAATTGGTACGGTATTAAACTAACAGACCTAAAAATGCATTTTTGTCTGAATAAAATAAGTCACTTTTGACTTCCTTTTGTTTTATTCTTGTTTTTAAATTATGCCACTCAAAGGTCAACTTTGGATTTTACATTATGGAAAAAGCATTAAAAGGGGAAATGCCATTTTGATATTTGCATAGCTAATAAGTGTCTGTTTGAGTTGTGATTAAGTAATAAAAATGTAAATTTGTAAAGAGAGTAGTGAGTTGGGTGCAATAGTGGGGAGGGGCACTAAGACTAACTACTAACATTTTATATTGGGAAGAGAGGTTTATCCACAATTGTAAGCCTTTGTGAGTGCCTTCAGAAGCTGGCATTTCTGAGTGGACAATCCCTCGTCCAGCAGTCATCCATTGCAAATCACCCGCTTCTATGGTGCCTTTGTGCCCTTCAAAGTCTTCGTGTGTTACACCTCCCTAATTAATAATAACCACCAAAACTTAATTAATAAAATAAATTCTAACAATTAATAATCTTCTTTCTTGATTCAATTAAAAAATGTAAGAAAGAACCAATCTAATCAATCAGCCATATATTTATGGAAGTTTTGTGATAATTACAGAATTATGTTACAAGTAATTAGTCTTAAGACTGATGTGACGAGTAAACTGGTAAAATTATATTTTTCAACTCTCTATTCAATTTTTTTTTTTTTAAAAATTATTATCGCCGGAAAGGTAGTATGCATGACTGAAAATGGTTTTGGCATCTATATGCCGCAAAAATAAACATCAATTGATGAACATGCACAATTAGGGGTAGTATATAAATATATATACTTTATTTTCAATGTCTTTCTTGTCATCCCTAATTAATTACAATTTTTCTACAGCGGCTTGGGCTGCTATATCTATATACACTCACGTGGTTACCCAAAATGTTTATAAATTAATTAAAAAAGTTAGCCACAAAGTCCCATGTGATTCCCCAAAATGTTTATAAGATAATTAAAAATATTTAGCCACAAAATCCATGGATTCAATACTAATCCCCATTCAAACGCATGTAGACAGGTAAATGGAAAAAGGGGGACGAAAAAGGAAAAATAAATAAAGAAAAAGATAAAAGAAAAAAAAAAACGTTTGACTAATTATTTTGTTTTTTCAAACAATCATAGATTTCATTAAATTAGTGATCTAAAAAATGAGCAATGCGTAGCGTAGGTACCTGCAGCATGTAGGTAACGGTCTCGAAGCCTGTAAGTAATTAATGAATGCAAATTAATTACCATAACATAAAAGCATTTCAAATCTAGTAAATAAACTGTATTACAAATAACTGAAAATATATATATATATATATATATATATGTGTGTGTGTGTGTACGTATATATATTTATTATATGAAACCTCTGTGTGGGTGATCAGGGAACCCAGCCGGAGCAGTAACTGTAAAAGACAAAAAAAGTCGAGAAATGAATATT